ATTTGACTGCAAATGAATTGAAAACATCTCCATGGCCACAAACACCACAAACAACTTGGAGAAAATATTCACAACATATACAGGAGACAAATGGCTAATATCTGTAATATATTAAGAATGCCAATAAATCAATGTAGGAGGGGAGATGTGGGCAGGAAATACACAATAAAAGGCACAAATGGTCAATAAACATATGAAAAAAACCAACTTTATAGTTGGTAAAGTGCAAAATAGAACAAATTAATATAAAATATGCAGGAAAATTTAAAATAATCACAATATAATTATTGGTACAATTATATATTAAACTTATTTAATTATAAAATACCTATAAAATATAAAAATTAAAGAAGTCATTAAAGGTAAGGCTCCTTCTGGCTTTACCATTCTTAATGTATGACATACACCCTCATAGTCTCAAAATGGCTGCTCTGCCTCAGATATTAGATCTGAATTCCAGAAATAGAGAAGGGACAAATGGCAAGAGGAAAACAGTACATGCCATCTCAATCTGACCCTGCTCATTCGTAAAATTATATCATCCCCAGAAGCCTTATTCCCTAAAATTACACTTAAATCTTCCTGGCAAACTGTGTCACTTTTAGGGAACTGAGGAGGAATAGATTTTTAAATTAAAAAAAAAATTTTTTTTAAAGGATTTTATTGGGGAACAAGTGTGTTTTTCCAGGACCCATCAGCTCCAAGTCAAATAGCTGTCTTCAATCTAGTTGTGGAGTGTGCAGCTTTGTGGCCCATGTGGGGATCAAACTGGCAACCTTGGTGTTATGAGCCTGCGCTCTAACCACCTGAGCTAACTGGCTGTCCTAAGGAATGGGTTTTTTAAATGCACATATTTCTGTTCCAAACTAAACTGTGATTCTGTTAATAAGCAAGAAGTGGAGAATATTGCTTAGTCAGTTAGTGGTGCCTACTGTGTGAGGGAAGTACCTAGAACACTGTCTGGTACATTGTAAATATTCATCAAATATTAGTTAAATAAAGGAATTGGAATTTTCATATTGTAATATGCATAATCTCCAGAATGACAGTGAAGGCGAATCAAGATGCGAGCCAAGCACCAGCTACAGAGGAAACTAGTCCAAATGAAACAAAAGTCTCCCTGAGAGATGTAAGATGTCTTTGAAAATACCAAGAGCAGATTTAGAAAGTTTGAGGTAGTTAGTGATAAATGTCTGGAATTGTTCTGCTCAACACTGTAGCCACCAGCCACATGTGACTTTTTAAGTTTAAATTAAATAAAAAATACAAAAACTCAGTCCTGCAGTCACACGAGTCACATTTGGAACGCTCAGTAGCCACATGTCGCTAGTGGCTACCATATTAAATGGGGCTACTACAGAGCATTTCCATCATTGCAAAAAAGCCCATTGAATACTACTTCTCTGGAAAAATTAAGCCAAGGGAGAGGAGAGGGGACAGGGGAGAGGGGAAAGAGAACTATCAACTCCCAGAAAAATTAACCCTTGAGCAGGACAAGAAAAATAGTCATAATATATGGGGTTCAGCTATAAATAGCATTTTGCTAGTCATAATAATGTAAGCATTGAATTCTGAATTCCATAAATAGAAATTTATTGGGGGGGGGCGGTGGATAGAGGGATGGGAAATGAGATTTGTGTCTCATGAGAGTAGGAGATTTTATGAAAGAAAGATAAACTCATCTTCGAAGGTGGGAATGTCACAGATAATGCCTATGACTGAAAAAAATCAGAAAAAAACAATATGGACTCTTTGTTAAGTGTGTAGAGGTAACAATATATTGTTGTTAATAGATAACAAAATACTCAGCCAAAAGAATTAAAATGATTGTCTCCAGGGAAGGAAAAATAAAGGAACAATGGGGATAGGTTTCATTGATTTTAGTAACCAGCCTTGCAAAATTATTCGATTCTTTTGTTTATAAGTTCATTGGGATGACATTGGTTAATAACGTTATATGTTTCAAGTAAACAATTCTATAATACATCATCTGTGTATTGCATTGTGTGCTCACCACCCAGAGTCTAATTTCACTCCATCACCATAAATTATCCTCTTCATCCTTTCCCCATCCCCCTCTCCCCCTCTGGTTACCACTACTCTGCTGTCTGTGTTTATGAGTTTGTTCATTTGTTGCTTTCTGTTTTATATTCCCCATATGAATCTTGAAATTTTGGAATCTTATGGGTTTTGTCTTTTTTCATCTGACTTATTTTGCTTAATATGATACTCTCAAGATCCATCCATGTTGTCACCTATTTGATTCTTAAACGATGTGCATATATAATTTGATTAAAATAATTCATAAAATCAAATAAATTGCAACAATAAAAACTGTTACAATGCCATCTTCCACATCAGATCGCTTCTGATCCCCAGACATAACACTTCTATGTTTTGATCTTTCTTTCTTTTTTTCTTTCTTTCTTTTTATTATTTATTATTATTATTTTTTTAGGATTTTATTGGGGAATTGGGGGAGGTGAACAGACAAGTTGTTGTCCTTTTGTTCTTCAGTCTAGTTGTGGAGGATGTTGTTTCACTGGCCCATGTTGGCAATATCATTCCTAGGTGAGGCAGTCTCTCGCTGGCCATTGGACGGCTGCTCATGGTGGCTCATGACAGCTCACAAAAGCTCATGCCCGCTGCCAGCCAGCCCCACACAGCCTACTCTGATGCTGGCAACTCACAGCAGCCCAGCTCCAGGTGGAGCTATTGTTCACCATCTTAGCTGTAGAGGGCACAGCGTCACTGGCCCTCATGTGGGATCCGAACTGGGGCCCTGATGCTCAGAGCTGGGGTCCCAAGCCAATTTCTAACCAACGTGTCACTCGCCCAGCCCCTTTCTTTCTTTTTAATAACAGTTGACATTCAATACTATTTTACATTAGTTTCGGGTATAGATAGCATAGTGGTTAGACATTTACATAATTTACAGAGTAATCCACCTGATAAGTCTAGTACCCACTTGACACCTTCCATAGTTATTACCATATTATTGACTGTATTCCCTATGCTGTATTTTACATCGCTGTGACTATTTTCTAACTACTTAATCCCTTTGCACCAGCCCCCATCTGGCAACCAACAGTTTGTGTTTTGTTTGTTTATTTATTTTGTTCTTTAGATTCCACATACAAGTGAGATCGTGTGGTATTTGTCTTCCTCTGTCTGACTTATTTCATTCAGCATAATACCCTCTAGGTCCATCCATGTTGTTGCAAATGGTAAGATTTCATTCTTTTTTATGCCCTAGTAATATTTCATTGTCTATACTTGGATCTTTAGAAAAGCATTGTTTGTGGCTCTGCTATTGGCACTGAACTGTACCCTGCTTTGCTTTTAGTCAGTTATACAGGCTTCTAGTCAAACCCCTAATGACTCGTAAATTCTTAAACTAACTAATATCTGATTTCAGAAGCTTTGCAGTATTTTGGTGTTTTAGTCTAACACAGAGTAAAGAGTGAGGACTCTATTAAAATGTAAAAAATGGTAATAATTTGAAAATAATAATAGCCAACATTTGTTGAACATTTACTATGTGCAAGGCATGTGATAAAAACCTACTGATAAATCAGGGTGTTAATTTATTCTTCTTCCCCAGAAGAGGTCATAGGTAAGCCAGACAAATAGATAGAGCTGCTGTTTCATCCCTATCAGGCACAATTCCAGATTAGCATTAGACTTTATTTTTTATTTTATATAAGTTTGTACTATATGTTTTTAAAAAATGGGGCTTGTATTATTTTTCACTTTAACACCATCTTTTAAAACACATAATGAGTAGTAAGTCACATTCTTCTTGTATGCAGGAACCAAATGAATGCTCTCATATTATACACATAACCCTTGGAAAACATACCAAATGAACAGGCATAATTAGTAAAGATGACAGAATGATGTTAAACTCTATTTACCACAATATGAATCATGGAAGAGGGAGAGGCACGTATGTTTGAAACATGAGATTACTTCCTAACATTTAACTAAAAAGGAACTATTACAATATGTTTGGTCTCAAATCCATATCAAATCAATATGGTTGACCTATAGGGTTTTTGCCTTAGTACAGAGGAGTGGAGAGAGATTAAATCAGTGAAAATTGTCTTCAGGTAGAAAATTGTCAGATAGTTTTTACAAAGCCAATGTCTTACATTTTGCCTTGCCTAATTGAACATTTTCTTCAAGTAGTTTACTGATACGGATTTCCATTTTATCTGTTGTTGCTGTTCAGAAATTGAACACTTTTGTGCCTGTATTCACACTTTGCTTCTAGGAGCCATCTGAGTAAACAGAAAATCGGTAACCCAGTTACATATGAGAGACACTGTATCCCTAGCAGCTAGCCTTCCCTAGGGAGGGAGAAGATAATGCACATGATCTTGGCACACCCCTCCCCCACCCCCATTTAACAATACAATAGGAAAACGATGGGGCCTAATTCCTCTAATTACACGCTGTGAGTATCTTATCTAGTGTCACCATCAAATATTTTCACCTACCACTTCACTTTATTACATATTTAAAAATTGTTTTTACCAACTTGATTTTTTCTGGATTTTATTCCTCTGTTTCTTTCACACCAACACCTATAACTTACCTGTAACTCACCTGGTGAGCTGTACGAGAGTGGGCATGTTTACCTGTGAAGATTGGACAAATGCTGTAAAGAAAGCAGTTACAGAAGGGTCTAACCCCCTCAAAATCATGCTTATTTTCTCCTAAATTCTTCTACACAAATACGATATTAAACAAGGCTGTTTGTTGTAAATAAGAGATTTAAGGTAAATTTGAATCCCATATTCTGTAATTTAGGTAAAATTTCATTACATTTGAATAGTTCTAAGCCAGCAATTTGTTACCCTTTATCCTTTAGTGGAATTGATGAACAGGTGGTTTTCAGAAGATCACTCAGTATATTTAGCTTCTGAAATTTGAGCAACTTAAGATCTGATTGGCTGCTCTTGCCACATGATAATTCGGAGCCCAGGCCGCACGCTGGCTCTTGCCTGGGGTTCTCAGGAGGGGAGAGTTGGGAGAGGCTTTGCTGCTGAGAAAATTTATTGATAGATTGAAGGTAAGGCCAGTTCATGGCTTTTTCTGTCATGTTTTTTCAGGAGATGTTCCACAGCTTCCCTTGAAGTACTTTCCAAACTTTTGGGTTATAGCTGGGGAAATTAGCGATGGAAACGATGACTAGGCAAGTCTGTCACCCCATTGCCTTACTCGGGCTCTACTAACATCTGACATGTAGTATGTGGTTAGAGTCAAGTCCTATACTAACCAATTTATTGCTTGCCTGAGTTGGTTCTCTTGTCCAACAGAGTCTTTTTTGTCTTTTTTTGCCTTTGATTTTTTTTTCTTCTAAATATACTAGTAGGAAAAAGGATCTGTATTCTACATTCCTACATTTATCCTTTTCTACTGGGCTTCATTTGCTTCAGGAGTGGCAGTTTCGCTAGCTTAACAAAACCAGCCATGGCCGGGTATTGGTTTACATGGCAAATATCTTTGGGTGAAGAGACAGCTGCTCCAAGTCATCATCCACGTTTACCAAGAGAGAGTTCCACTCTCTGGCGTCAAACTGACAAGGCCTTGGGAGATCCTTTCGTTTGTTTCCTGAATTAGAAGCTTAGGCCAAAGACCCACAGTTTTATACGTACTTCAGTCAACGCTTCAAAACTTTGTTATTTTCCAGGTTTGAACAAGAGCTACAGAAGCGAAAGAGAAAAACCTACACAAGCCAATGGTGTTCGGAAAGAAAATAACTCCATTGCCTTGAGGTTTCTATTTTCCTTTTAAACTCTATAAACGGATTTATTTTTACATGTTCTCCTTTGAAGCATAAGATATACTGTGTACCATCTATTAGAGCGTACAGAAAACTAAGGCAACCCTCTTAGAAATTGGGTGCTACAGGGCAAAATTTCAACTGCTTCTGAAAGCTGAGCTGACCTTCCTTTCGCTAAAATTTTTGTTTGAAAATGTTTCTCTCCAAGTATTTGGACATTTAAATACCCTGTTCCTTTGAATGCAAACCCTCTCACTCCCTCACCTTAACTTCCATTTGCAACTTGAGCTCAGTTGATCATAGCTACACGTAGCCAATACCCAACATGTTCCTGAGGGAATCCAGAGACAAAAATTTGAGGCTTCAGTTTTTCAGACCTGTATCTGAAATGCCTTCTCTCATGTACCCTGCAAACATACATAAAGACACAGAAAGGATACATTTCAAAGTCTATTTTTATAATGTTATACGATGATTTCAGTCCTGGGGATAGATGCTAACGTATTTTCATTTGTCTGGAATATGAAAAGTTTGTAGGTGCCACTACTGCTCCGAGAAAATGGCAGACGATGAAGAATATGAGGAGGTGGTGGAGGTAAGATGGAAAACCCAACTCTGACAGCAAAGTGTTCTGTGTAGCAACCATCAAAGCAGTGTAGGTGAATTAATCATTTGAAAACTACATTGTCTACTATAACTTCACAAAGAGTCATCATTAGAGCATAGAAAAGAATATTTTATGTTCAGTTTCACTATAATATGTGGGATTTAGGCTTGAAAAGACATATCACTGTTTCCCATTTTTCCTTTTCTTTGAACTCTCAAAAAAAAAACCCACACAAAACACACACACACACACACACACACACACACACACACACAACAAAGTGTGGGGTAAAGGTAGGTTTTAATTTTTCTTCTAAAACTACTTTCTTCCCCACCTCCCAACGCCCATGATCAAAGGGACAGAGAAGATGAAGAGAACATTCTGGAAACAGAACTCTATGTCATAGTGTCTGCATACAGATAGAGCTACTTTTTGCTTCAACCAGCTGGTTATCTATAGGGTGATATGAATTAAGTGTTCAGGATAATATATATGAGATTATATGCTTATATGAGATTTTTATATACATGGATATATGTGTGCAGACACACACATATAAAACTAAACTCATGATGCTCCTATGTGACAGTTGGAGCCACACTTTCCCACCGACTTCATTGTATTTACCCAAGGGAACAAAACTAGCTTTTGCATTTGAATTTTGAAAAAGAGCAGGCCATCTTAAAAAAATTCCCTCCAGATTATTGGTGGGTGTTGGACATATTTTACAAAATTGTCAATTGTTTATTTTATATTCATTTGATATATTTTTTTATCATGTTATGATTTTCTTTACCAGTTCTTGCCTTTAGCTTCACATCCATATAAATATACTGCCACTGAATCTGAAAGTGCTGAATAATTACCAATTAATGATGATGCTCTAAATACATATGTGAACTTGGAGGCAGTTTTGAAAATCTGTGCTTTTTAAAAAGAATGAAATTAACTTTAAGAGCTAACCAGAATCAAATTCCAAATGAAAGTGCCAAAATTTGTCTTTGGAAGGTTATTTTATGAGCCAGTCTATATTTAGATGAAGAAAATTTTATTTTGCTCTACAAATAAAATTGCTTGTATTACAGAAAGATATATGTTTTTTTAAAAACCCCAGAATGAATCTTATATAATATAACCTTCAAATTCTCTGGCTTAAATGTCACAGGCCACATCTTCAATTGTCAAAATTATCACTAGTGTGCAATTTTCTATGTGTCCCAAAGGGTTGAATAATCACTATCAAACACTAACACAATTATAAATTAAATTGCCTTCCCTATGATGGTAAAACCAGGAATACTTTTTAGCCTCCAACTTAAATATCCCTTGACTTTCTTAAAATAATTGTATTCATCGGCCACTGGAAGTTGTCCTTAATGCTAGACTTGATTGATTTAACTAGATGTCATAATAATGGAGGGGGGCTATTTTTAGGCGTTTCATCCTTGCCATTTTGTTTCCATTACTGCTTCTGGGTTTGACCAGCAGGTGCTAAACTAATAGACTTCCTGCCAGAGAGTGTTGAACCAAGGTCTCTCTGACCTCAAAAAATATGACATGAAAATGGGATCATGGCAGATTCGAGAAAATAGTCAGGCAACAGTACACAAAACAGACAGGAATTAGCTTTCATAATATATGCCCTAGGGACCTTGGAAATCTAAATAAAATTGTACTGTCACTCTCTACTCAGATGTAAACAAACTTGGAAAAAAAGGAAAAGAAGCAAGGATGTACTATCTAATTAGTGGCAAAGCTCTTTTAAAAAAGTGAGATTTGGCATATGAGTGAATGCCAACCATTTGAATAGTGTTGCCTTTTTTATAGGATTGTTTCTAAAATATATTTACCAGCCGTGAGGGGCCAGCAAAGGTAAAGTTGGATGGCTACCAAAGAGCTGTTTTTACTTGGATGCTCACAAAATTTAAAACAGTTGTGAACCATTCATTTTAGTTTAATATTTCTTCTCAATTTACTGATGTTTGTGTGGCCAGAGGAACAGTTCCATGTGGATCAGCATCAAACAGTATTTTTAAAAATGTCCTAATGATATTTTCCATGTGATGAAGACACAAGCATGTAAAAGAGAAATTCTGTGTCCTGTAAGAGCTTGTGACTTCTGTTGCTATGTATAAAGACACAGAGATGGAATTAGATTTCACATTAAAAAAAAAAAGTACAGGAGCAAAGAAAGTTCAAGAGTTTAGGCAAGTTTTATAGTAATTTTACTGCAAGTGAACTAGAGCATGTGGCCTATTGAAATGGTTAAATAATGTTTGAGGGTTCACTGAACCAAGAGCAGAAGAAGAAAGGCCACTGAGGGAAATTTTGCATTCAGTGTTTTTCCCTTTCCCTGAGTATATGTTTCGGAGGCAGAGAAAATAAAAATGAAGCATAAAATGTTATCCATCTTGTTGATTGAGAAAAATGAGTCTAGTGTTTCATTTTTATCCCTTTCTTTGTAGGCTTTGGCCTAAACCAGTCTTTCCTCCTGTTCACCCAGCTTTGCTGGGTGATGCAGGGGGCAGGATTCCACTCTCTTTATGCATCTGAAACAAAATGTCAGCCAGTTCCTACCCGTGTCTATTTATTGCTGGTGATGTCAGAAGTAGAACAAAAGTAGATTTGATTTCAGGTCCAGCCTGAAGGCACCTCAGAGCCATCAGTGGCAAATTGCTGCCTAACTTTCACATATTTGGTGATGAGAATCTTCTCATTTTTTCCTTCTCCCCTTGGCATTTGTGAATTTTCATCTTAGGACACCCCTTTTAGGACTACCATGCTATTGGAAGGGATTCATCCATCACTTCAGAAGAAACTCTTATTTCTTATTGATAGGATGGTAGAGGGTTGACTGAGAGGTGTATAATAAAGTCTATTATTTCCATGATACAATCCACTTAAAAATTTTATTCACAGTGAGCTTTCTGTTTGTTTTATTGTTAATCAGCAAACTGTAAGTTGTATCACAGTTCTTCTCTGCCCAACCTACACATTCAAGATATATGGTTACTTTACTCTTTTCTTAGCAAATTCTACTTTGGGTGCCAGGAGAAAAAAAAGTAACGTGTCTGAAGTAAAATAGCATCCCATGATTAATAAGCAGCCTCAGACCCTTTCTCATTACTCGACATCTCCTTGTCCAGTCTGATGGCATTCATTCGCTTCAGCTTCCCTGAAGTTTCACAAATTTAAAATGGGGTCCAACATATGAACAGGCTCCTTCAGCTACTTCCGTCCCACAGATATAGCAAACCAACTGGGCTAGTGACACAACACAAGTGGCTCAGCTGAGGCAGAGGAGGGGTGATTTCTGCTTTGGTTCTCATGATGATAAGTCTGTGCTCTATTTATAGTACTACACAGAGGAGATTGTCTATGAAGAGGTGCCGGGTGAGGTAAGACCCAGCACACGCCTGCATGCACTGTATGCTCCTTAAAGCAGGAAAAGGGCCTTCTCTCACACTCCCAGGGCCACAGAACTGGCAAAAGGGAGACTCTGAGGGAGGATCACTCACCAATGTGTGCTCAGCAGCTGGTGGGACAAGAATAAATGTTACCTATTTGTCAGGTTTTATCACCCTTTTTGCTATTCAGCATATCCAAGATGGCTGCCGGATGGTTTCCCCCATTGCCCATGTGGTATGTTTGGTGTAGGTGGTGCTAATTAGAGTAATGTCAGTGGCTGTCACCACTCTGACTGCAGTAAAGGGATGGGCTTGAACTTATGATCTGCATGGGAACCAGCAGTTTTATTGTGTAGAGTTGTAACTTGTGGGGCACCATCTTGGCCAACAAGGATGGTGCCTCCTTTGTCCTTGATGGTGTCATAAAATGCTACTTGGATTTTAGCACATAAGAATTCTGAGAAAGCCATTCTCATCAATATTCCAAGTTGGAACTTTTTTTCCCCCCAAGATGAAATGCCTCATGCATGCTTCATTTTCTGCTGTTTCTCTTAAGCACGACAAACACTGGTATGGATGGCTAACCCTAAAGCCTACTCAGACAGCCTGTGACTGCATGGAAACTAACATCTGTAGATACTGTAAATTGGTTAGTTTCTCATGGTCAACCATTCATCATTAATAATGAGCAGAAAGGAGACTATTAGTGATGCTCTGACAACACTAGGGGAAGTTGTCATAGATATACAGTTTCCTTATTACTTAGCTTTCTCTTTTCAAAATTGATTAGTACTATTCCTTTGATACAGGTGGTATTAGCTGTGAAGGAAATTACAGTATGAGATGGATTGAAGATTTGGCTGCTTATCTTCTTTTCTCATATACAGTATTATTATTATTATTATTATTTTGTATCTTATTGTTTTAATTTGCATTCCTTTGATCTCTATTGGGGTTGACTTTTAAAAATTAAATTTATTGGGGTGACAATGGTTAGTAAAATTACATAGGTTTCAAGTGTACAATTCTATAATACATCATCTGTATATTACATTGTGTGCTATTTTAACCTTGGACTAGACTCAAACTTTAGGCCTTAGTTTCTTTCACTACAACTTGTTGAAAGAAACAGTAATTTCCCACCTACCACATACATTGGACTGTTGTGAGGGTAATTACCCCATTACATTGTCATCATTATTCTTGTCCTCCTAAGCATTTATTAGTGTAAATGGCACTCCAGTTCACATTAATTAACTGACTAAGCCAAGAGAATGGTAATTACTTGTAATATTGATGTGATTCATTTTTTTAAGTTTATTATTCTTTGTCTCATAATACAAAAGAGAATGTCTACATACCTGAAGAATAAGCAACCAACTTCTTAGATTTATTTAAAAGTTAATATTAAAGTCAAGAACTTGAGTTTTGTTTGTCTTAATCTTTTGTTCTCTGATCCTAAAGTTGCTTCTATTTTAACCCAGACAATTTAAGAAGATTTTTCAATGTTTAAGAATATTTTACTTCTGATTTTTAGCTTCCCTTAAAGTGTTTCTCTTTCTGCAAATGGAATTTTAAGACAATGTTACAAATGAATAAAGAGTAGCCTTTCTACTCAGTGCAACCTTAAACAATCAGCATTAAGATTTATGTACTAGAATGTGCTTTCAAATGGATAATGTGATTTTCTGCTTTGACCTGTTTTAGTTATGGAGAAGTAACACCAGGAATGTAAGTCTGACTTAAAGTCAGAATATCAAGATCATGCGTATCACAGTTTTTACTCTTATAACAATGTTGAACCGCATGTCAAATTTTCAGACAATAACAGAAATCTATGAAACTACAAGGACAACTGACTATGAGCCATCAAAACCTTCCAAACCAGCGCTGGCCCAGCCAGAACCGGCAAAGCCGGGGGAGAGGAAGAAGGTTATCAGGAAGAAAGTGGACTCTTCAAAGTTCATGACCCCCTACATTGCACACAGTCAAAAAATGCAGGCTCTCTTTAGCACAGTAAGTTTCAAACAATTCTTCTAATCTGGTTTATTGTGGAGAAATTACTGATCTCAACCAACTCAGTTTTGGATGCTTGCTGGGTCTTGTTTCTCAACCTTGTATGAGGCAAAACTTAGTTTGCAGAAATATAAACTCTTGTGAGTCTCGAGTTGTCATTTCCTGTAATTTATTTGTATGATTGTGCCATCAAGGAAAGCATCCTTATTGAAATTATTACTGCAAACTAAGTATAAGGCCAATTACAAATCATGTACTGGTATTTAGTCACTGCTGGTTAGCCAATCTAGAATAATAAAATCATAAATATAGATTTAGTTGAAATCAGTTCACGGAAGCTAAATAGCATCTATTTAAGCTATGTCTGAGCAGAATGTCTCTTAAGTAGACCAGCTAACAGTATGTGGAAAGGTTTCTAAGAGATGGATAATGAAGAAGAATACGTAGTTTAGAAAACCAGGATTAGACTCAGAACTCATCTGAAATTGAGGACCAGAATATTTGCACCCTACAACAGTGGTTTTGAACTGTGGCTGCATGTTAGAATCCCCTGGGAGCTTTAAAACTACTAAAGCCCGGGCTATTATGGTTTAATCAGCCTGGGGTTGGGGCTGGTGTAGGAGGAGTTTTAAAAGCTGCTCAGGTGATTCTAATGTGCAGTCCAGGTTAGGAAACACTGCCCTTGATGGTCCCTGGTCCTTCAAGTTCTGTAAGTTACACTGATTGGTAGATTCAGACCCATTTGAATGGACCTAATTTGTTCATTGTCCATGGTGGGCTGAGGGCTCACTAGGTAGCCTGACTGCATGTCCTGTAGAGGCTTGAAGAAATGAAAAGTATCTCAGGGAACATTTTGACTATATAGGACTAATGCTTATGTCAAAAGCATCCTGTTGTGTTTGGCCAGTAAATATTCATTTTTGGCTGAGTGTTAACTCTTAGGGACTTTTTGGAAAATTTCTAGTTTAGATTTTTTTTTTTTAAAGAAATTTATTGGGGAATTGGAGAAGAGGAACAGTGTTGGGGAATTGGGGAAAAGGAACAGCCAAGTTGTTGTCCTTTAATCTTAGTTGTGGAGGGAGCAGCTAACTCAGCTCCCAAGCCCTGTCGCCATCCGACCACCTGACGGCAGCTTGCAACCACTCAGCTCCAGGCGCAGTGTTCAATATCAGTTGTGGGTGGGCATAGCCCACCATCCCAAGCGGGAGTTGAACCAGAAACTTTGTTGTTAAGAGCGCACGCTCTAACCACTGAGCCATCTAGCTGTGCATTGGCAGCTCAGGGCAGCTCAGCTCAAGGTGCCGTGTTCAATCTTAGTTGCAGGTGGGCATAGCCCACCATTCCATGCGGGAGTCAAACCTGTAACCTTGTTGTTAGGAACACATGCTCTCACCAGCTGAGCCATCCTGCCACCTATTGGCAACTCAACAGTAGCTCAGCTTGCGCACAGCTCACTGGCCCATGTGGGAATCGAACTGGTGACCCTGTTGCTCAGAGTTCACGCTCTTAACCAACTGAGCCACTCGGCTGGCCCCAGATTCTTGAATGATCTAAAACATAGGCTTCTGAGACTTAGATTTCTAAAAACAAGATTATCTTGCCTCTTTTATCACTGTAATATTCAGCAAAGATAGAAATGTTTTGGTCAATTCATTACTGTAAAATCTCATTAATGTAGACACTACTATCTTAGAATTTCTGATAGGCTGAACAGAATGTTGGCAAAGGTTTATAATATTTTTAAAGAGGTTAGTAACTAAATCAATAATATAACTTAGATTGTTGACTACTTCACTTCAAGAGCACTCTTGAAACATTAATAATGATAAGTTATGCACATTATTTTTAAGGCAAGAACTCATTGTACATTTAGAAGAAATAATAAAATTGCATTTCTTTTCACAATACTCCATAATTTAGACTTTCCATTGATTCAGCTGCTGTCACAGTTATGCACACCACTGAGATTTAGCTGCAACTTTTGAATTGAATATTTTTTCATTGTATGGCAATCAAATCTTTTCACACTTGACTCAATTTTTCTACATTTATTTTCTAAAATTATTAAGGTTCAAGCTTTTTATGTGTGCACTCAGACAATAAACACATTGAAAGAATCATTTTAGAGCATTTCCAAGACAATAGTCTGTAATAACGTTTCTACTGTCTCCATTATACAACTGTGTTTAGGAAGAGCAATTAACAAATCTATTTTAGTGTTTGCTGAGAATCAGGGTAGGGCACAAAATGAATGCTATTATAACTGATAATTGTTATAACTTGCAGTATTTTTTTTTATCAGATGGGGATGAGTGCATTGCCTGAAATTTTTGCTGCTGTCTTATCAGGCTTTGCACTAATATCTATATTGTTTTCAGAATAAATACAAGGAGAACTATGAGAAAGCAAAAGGACAGCCATCTACCATCACAGCCGATACCCCAGAACTTCGCAGAATCAAGAAAGCACAAGATCAACTTAGTGAGGTGGGCTACGTTGCTAAAATGAAAAACAGACATTTCAAAAATATACCTACCACTGGGAATTGTGGGTTCTAAATAGGTGTAGAGAGAATAGGGGGTTGAATTACTCTGAGCCAGTCCAGAAATTGAGAGAAAGCATCGACCACAGATTATGTTGCTCTAAATGTGAACCCAAAGAGGCTTCTAAAAGTTTCACTTAAAAACTCATCTTAATTGGTGATGTGAGATGGAATTTCCAGCTCACCATGGCCCTCCATGCTGGAGCATAGGGGAACTGAGATTTGGCCACGAAAGCGGACAAGCAGTAAACACAGACGCTGTGCAGCTTTCTGGCGATCACAGTTTTCTCCCTAAAATGAAGAAACTTTGCTTTAAGATGCAGACGTAGAGTGATTGGGTCAATGCTCTTTGGTTATATTCTTTACTGTTCTCACATGATTATGCCTGCCGTGAACCCCAATTGTGCATTATTTCTGCAGGTTAAGTATCGAATGGATGGCAATGTCGCTAAAACAATCTGTCACGTAGATGAAAAAGCAAAAGACGTTGAACATGCAAAGAAAGTGTCGCAGCAAGTCAGTAAGGTAAGGTCATGCTATGGATGGCCAGCATACAACATACAATGTGTATCCCCTCTGCCTGGCCTTAGAGGCGAAAGCTGGGCGGGCCTGATCCTGCTCACCAGTCCCACTGGAGTCGCAGGCCTCGTGAGCTCTAGTGCTCACACATGTCAGGGAGGCTGCACACATGACTGGAGTGGCCCATAGGAGCCACGGTTAACTGGACACCCCGTGCCCTGCAGTTTGGCTCCAGGCAGCTGCTGTACAGAATGTAGTCCCAGTGTCACCAGAGTCTCTTGCTTATTTTTTTTAAAGAAGTTAGAAGCTGAATTTTTATGATAAATTCCGAATTTCAAATGTAGGGAACTAATTAAAAACATGTTTTAAAAATACATGTAAGTCAAAAACACATCTATCATCTAAATTCAGCCAACGACTGATAGGTTGCAACCATTGAAAGGAATCTGTAGAGAATCAGAATCACGGCCGAGTTTTACAAAAATCAGACTTTACAAGTGAAAGCTTACTAATGCGGGAACAGTATTATGGGATGTGGACATGGTCAGCGTTTTCATAATGGATGCTAGTGACACACTGACCCCTCTGAAAAACTCTTCACAATAGTCTCCTTTGTTCTCTCAGTCCTCGTGCTCTTGGGGGAGACATCAAGCCACAGTCTTCTCTTCTTTCTGTCTAGGTTTTATACAAGCAGAACTGGGAAGACACCAAGGATAAGTACCTGCTTCCCCCTGATGCCCCTGAACTTGTCCACGCCGTTAAGAACACAGCCTTGTTCAGTAAGGTAAGGGCCCCTGCTCTGTCACCTCTTCCATCCTCCTCTGTCCTCTCACCACATCAGTTAGTGGAATACTCAGTAAACTCTTGATAATCTGAAACACGGTTCCCCAATTTTTTTGTGAGTAGCCTTGAGGCATGTGGGGCTGCAGGAACTGAGGAAGGAGGAACTGAGAAGAGAGTTCTTGGGCAGAGTAGAGGGGGAAGATCCTATCAGGATCTTGGACAACCTGGGAAAAGAGTGTGTGGGGTGAACAAAGATGCATCTGAGATCCAGCTCTAGAGACCCACAAAGTAATATTTTCAGTTCCTCTGTAGACCCTCTGCTACACGTTAGATGTTCCTGACTATCACTCTTATTAAAGGTCTATTTTATGGCAGAAACTACACTAAGTAGTTCCTGGCTGTTTACACTTGCGTTACGGTAGTTTCTGCTATAGGAGGCAGGTAAAGTCACAGAGCGGAGAGGAAACAGAATCAGACACATCGTCCTTCTCTAAATAAGATTTGTCATGAGAATCAGGAGAAGCTATTAATAAATATGACTTGGATGGGATGGAAAGGGAGAGGTTATCTGTGAGTTCCATTTACCTTTGCTCTCACCTTACCCAGAGTTCTTTATGCCATTGATGAATTAATTGAAAAGTATGTATTTCATGTAAGTGTGATTTCACTTTCTCACAACTTTTAACTTTGTTCTGCTTTAGAAACTGTACACTGAAGACTGGGAAGCAGACAAAAGTCTGTTTTACCCATATAATGACAGCCCGGAGCTGAGGAGAGTTGCCCAAGCCCAGAAAGCTCTTAGTGATGTAAGTGAACTGCAATCAGCACCGTTTTTGTGTGGAATCAGGCAACTCAAATTATTCCTCTGGTCAGATGTCCATTGCAATTCTTTAAGACAGACTAAATGCCTGTTATTATCATTATTGCAGAGAAATTGATCTAGAATCATTATAATTTTTTATGTCTAATTTAAATTAGATTTTAGAATTTATATTAAATAGAATTTTGTCCAATCCCCTTTTTGCATAGGTGAACAACTTGAGTATAAGATCACATAGGTAATTAGCGGCAGAGCTCAGACTAGAAGCCTGGTCTTGTAATCCCAAGACCAATGTCCTTTGCACTAGAGCATGCCCCCTGTGTCCCCTTGGCTGGAGTTGAAGTTTTTCTGTACAATAGAGTGGCATTTTTAAGACCTATTGGAATCATAGCCACCTTCCCAAATTTATTAAGTGAATAATGTTAGAGAAAGATTTTGATTTGCTGTCCTAATTATGAAGTCTGAATTGTGGTGTGTCCCCCTTTTCCTGCTTGGGGGGCCTGACAGACGCACTTGTCCAGATATGTGTATGAAGTTATCTCACAAAGAGCTCTTGCCACTGGTGTACATAGAGGATATTTCAGGGTTAGCAAAACATCAGTGGTCCCACTGGCCAGAATTATAGTATCCTAGACATTTAAAATATTAGAGAAACGTCGAAGGCCTAATTACCGTCCTTAGGGTTGAAAGCAGCAGCAGCAGCACAGAACCCGCATAGGCCCAGCCCTTGCCCTTGTTTTGAGGTACTTTATTTCTTGGCCCCAGGATTTGCTAGGGGCCATGTTGAAAATTCAAAGACTACTGCTTTAGTCTTCAGGAGAGCACTGTATAATAAAATGACAAGTTATTTTTCATTCAGTGTCAGCTAGATCCCTGGACTTAAGCCAATTGGCATCTTAAGACTTATTGGGATTTACTTCTGATGGATTTTAGGATTCTATCTTACCCTGAACTGAAATCATATATAACTGATTGATGGTGTATTCAAGATCTGAGGTCTAATTTTTATTGCCTCTCACTTGACATCACCTGCAAATATAGTAGACATAATTGCTATCCTAGTTTGCATGTAATTTGTTAAAGTATGGCACAGATATACTCTTCTCCTTCCATGGGATAAGTTAGGAACTAAAGAGGATGTAACAACATTCTAAGGCCATCTAGTGCATGGCACCTATTTTAATGTGTAGGGACCTGCTGCTTCTTCTTTAAGATTAGCTTTTTGGTTCTGTCTCTCATGAATATATAACATTGTGTGACCTTTATCAAGTGATCAATAATTATTTACTGAAAGACCATTATGCATTCATACCTGACAGGACAGAAAAGTACAAGAAGTTTTTATCCTTTCTCTTGAGAATTTCGAACCAAGCTGGTCAGATGAAAGTGTTATATATTAAACCAAAAGAAAACAGTTAAAACAAACAAGCCAATAAACCCTGCAGTCTAATACTTGCTAAGAGAAAGACAGGATACATTGAGTAATCAGAAAAGGGCGTGTGGAAGTGGTGATTCTGGGGGAATGGGCAGTGAGGAACAGGAAGGGCATTTCAGGTAGGGACAGAGGAGAAATGAGTCTGGGGCTTCAGGGAACAAAGAAAGTGAATGCTATGGGCATTGAATTAGGACAGCACTTGTAAGAAACTTGCAGCAGGACCTTGAAAATCAGACAAAATAGCTTTGACGTGACGTGGTAGTCAATAAGAGGCATCATAAGGCTTTGGAGAAATCTTATTACACAATAAAAGTAGAATCTGGAGACATTTTGATGGGCAATATGGTGGATTAGGACTAGGACAAATCGTGATAATTTATAGAAGACTATTTTAGTAATATAGATGGATCAGAGGGATGACAGGGACAATGGATATTGGAGACAAAAAGAGCGAAAAGAGACACAGATGAGTTTATGACCAAGACTGGCAGTCCGAGTGTATAATGGTATAACTGGTAAAAATGTATTAGTGAAAGAGAGAGTTGAGATAATGGAAGGAACACTCAGAACTAGACATCCTATGAACAAATTAGAAATTTAGTGCTTTGGCATAAATGTGAGATGAGGAATATCTGAGAGTCATCAGAATATAAGTGACAGCTGAAGACATGAAAATGTATGCGGGAGGCAGAACAGTGTGTGGCCAAGGGCAGAGCCTTGGAGGACGCCCACACTGAGGACAGCTGGAAAGGAGCCAGCAAAAGAATAAAGGGACAGACGGATGGAGAAGTTGAAGGGGAACCAAGAAATACATGTCATGTAAGCCCAGGGAGAGGTTTCCAAGAAGACACTTATCTCCTAATGTCTCCCTTTATCTGTAAAGTGGAGGTAGGAACGGTTACCTCCATGCTACTCTAGTGCTGTGGACTTTGAACAACTAAAGTTGACCACATTTTTGGAAATACCTTAATAAAAGACATAATGAAAGAGAATTATACTAATGAAGTACAGTCTTCCCTGCTTTCCTCAGAAAGGCTTGGCAGTTAAGGTCTGCTTTCATTTTTATTGCAAACCAAGTATGCACTAAGGATCGGATTACCAGCATGCCTATTAATGCTGTTGTCAGCTCCATGAACTTCTACAATTATTGGGCACAGATCCCCAAGAAAGCTGTTGTTCACAGAATATACCACTGGGGAAGTGTGTAGATTTCAAGCTACAGGCTTGGACTCAGAGGCTCCCTCTCCCTCTCCTGTCCCTTCTTCCTGAGTTTTTCTTAACCCTAATTATCATGTTTTCTTTATTATCTAAGTAGAGACCAAAGGCTTTGCAAACACTAAGAGAGTCTTTAAGTGAATCCAGAGCAAAGAATTCTAATTAGACAGAATTCTGACCAAGGTTCCTTAGAAATTAGGACTTCTAGACCTGATTTCTCTGAAAGTTCTTGACGGGATGTCCTATTTAATAAGCGTTTCTCCTGGCAGGATGTTGCTTTCTCCTTCAGGATTTAACCAACCATGGAAAATTACAGGTTGCCTTATGCCTAAAATGTCTTCACTTATTTAAAAGAAATTAGGCAGTCTAATTAAATGAATACATTTTAAATTTTGTCTTTGTATCCCAATTGATTTAATGTCCACACAAGCTTTTGTTATAGGCACTAAGTAGATAGTGTTTAGATAAGATACAGGTGGAGTTGGCTAAAGCATGAAGAAAATGAGGCCTTGGAATTATATACAATCTTTTTACTTTATAAATAAGAATACTACCACATGGAAGGAGAAATAATTTGTGGAAGTCTCAGAGTTGAGTGATGGAAGAATTGGGTGGATGGTTCTCCTCTTCAGACTTGCCCTGATGACTTCAGTGTGAAAACCACACATTCAGAAATCAGTCGTTGAACCCTTGCTTTAGTCAGGTACTGTGCAGGCCACAAGCTTTCCCAAATGAGAGGATATATTCTCTGCCATCCCAGAGTTCACAGTTAGGGACAGACATATAAGCAGCCAGTGTCAGTGTCATCTGAGAATTCCCTTAAAGGAGGTAAGAGCTAAGTTGAGTGAGATCCCCAGAGAAGATCATTGAGTCAGGGACGGTACAGGAGGGGAAACTGAGCTTGCCCTGAGACCTGGAGAATGAGCAGTAGTTTGCAGGCAAATGGGGAGAAGGTGGAGTTGGGGCATTCCGGAGAAAGGGAGCCGCATATATGAAGTCCAGAGATATAACAGGGCTGCATGTGCCTGGGGATCTATGAATATTCTGCATTGTTAGGGAGGCAGGGGCCAAGAATGGTGGATGGAAAAGCCAGAGGAGTCAGTAGCGAAGAAAAAGAGTGAAGGGGATGCATGATTAATGAACATAATACTTATTTTAAGGCAAGGGAGGTATTTTATAGGCAGAAGGAAAGGAGCTAATGAGGAGGGAGAGGTTGAAGATGTAAGCAAGAGGAAGGGAGACTGATAGAGTTAGGTACAGAGGGCTGCTGGCAGGAAAAGTACCCTGAGTGTCTGACTCATGCCCTGCAAAGGATGCTTCTCCTCTGAGTCATGTGAGGGAGGGGTGGGAGAGGCAGGGATGAGTATGGAGCAAAATAAGTGCGTAACCTTTCTTTACGAAAGAGGAAGCTGAGGGTAAGGTGGAGCTGATTGGGGGCTTAAGGACAGTGTTGAGATTTTAGACGAGCCACTAGCAGTAGAGACTGACACATAATAGGATGTTCAAGCTTCAATAAAGACTAGTGGCAATTGGATAAATTCAGAGTATTGGACACAGAGCCTCAAGCAAGCTGTAGTTCACAGAACATATTGCTGGGTGGGTGTGTATAGATTTCAAGCTAAAGGCTTGGGTTCAACAGACTCCCTCTCCCTCTCCTGTACCTTCTTCCTGTGTACCTATTAACCACGCTTATCCTGTTATCACTACTCAACCCATAGAGTTGTGCGATTTTCTTCAGGAACACTCAGCATCCTGGATAGAAGAACAACAGAAGTGTGTGGTTAAGTTGATCCAGAGCTGGCAGTTTGTTAACAGGTGTGACGTAAAGACAAGAGGTTGGGAGTTGAGGATGCTGGTTAAAACAATAATTTTAGTTGCAGATCATGACATGGAGATGAAAGGAAGGAAACAGATCTAAGGACAATAGTCTTGGAGAAAAGAGAAAACTCAAAAGGAAAAATAACCAGTAATGCTGAGAGAAAGGCCATGTAACATCTACAAGGATAAACTATGGTTACTTGATACACTGAAGTTCAAGACTTCAAATAAGATGAAAACATAATCTTTTAAAAAAAATGCCAAGAAATGAAATGTGAGACATAGAATACTTATCCATGGCTCATGAGCATCCCTTTTATTTTGTTAGATTGCCTACAAAAAAGGTCTTGCTGAACAGCAAGCCAAATTCACACCTCTACCAGATCCTCCAGATATAGAATTTGCCAAGAAAGTGACTAATCAAGTGAGCAAGGTAAGTAAATAGGGCTGGGACACTGCCGTCCTTGAAAACTCTGCTTAATAACGTCAACCCTCAGAAAAAGTAACTAAGATGAACCTAAAGATGCAACATAAACACTGAATATTTTTGCATGTGACCCTAAAAATGCTACAGCAAAAGCAGTATATCAATTAACATCATGGAACCGTGTTAAAGGTTCAACCAGCCCGATGACTCAGTGATTGATAAATATGCTGCATTTTGAAAACAGAATTCATGTTCTACTATCCTTTGACATTTCACTTATGGAAGTGACACTAACAGAGAACCAAGTAACCACACATTTCCACAGAGGACCTGATTTTTTTAATTCAGCATGAAGACCCGATATAGTTTTATGCTCTCGATCACACTTGAAGGAAATAAGAATGCATGAGTGGTCTCTCAGACAAAGCTTAGTTTGGCAGGCATAGGAGGGCACCTAACAACTTTTAAGGTGCTGGAAAAACAGCCTGGCCTGCCTATTTTTAGGCTGGTGAAGCAGCTTTGAAGAATGCAGAGAGGCAGATGTTCAACTGATGAATAGACCTATGTTAAATTCCTTTTTAAAAATTGGTCCAAATCAGGCCACTTTTTCCTGGGATACTGCTGCTTTTAAATACTTTTCTTTGCCCTTTGTGGAATTGAGTTTCAGTTTGGTCTGCTTACATTTTGATGGAACCTCAAGATTTCTATCATGTTCAAGTAGTTTTTTTTTTTTGGAAAGGGTATCTCTAGTAAAGGAGAAGGAGGAAAAGTTATGGATGATGAAGTCTATTCAATGATGTGTTTTAATGTCTGGTATTGTACATTACTACCTAACTATGTAACCAAGGGCTAGTTGGATAAAAGATCTAGTAAGTACAGTAAAATTTCACTAATAGGAATACCAGGAACCTGAAATTTTGCCCAGGGCTCAGCAGAAATTAACTTTAGAACTATCCATAAAGAGATGGCCTTCTGATAATGTTGATATTGTAGGCAAAACTGGGGAGCAAGAATGATTTATCATTTTGAAAGAAAAAACTCTTTTTGAATAGCCATTTAGAAAGAAAAATAAATCTATTTTAAATTTTTATTTAAAACGTATTTTAAAAAATATCTTACCAAGACAACATTCTTTTACCTTATTTGAGTATGTATGCAGTATGGGTACTTGAAAGTGATTAAAACAATCACTTTCAAATTCCCTTATAATCAGCCTGTCACTAAATCAGGCTTGCCAGTTAGTTTAGAGCTATACTCTTCAATAGAGTAGCTACTAGCCACATGTGTCTGTTGAGCACTTGAAATGTGACAGTATGAACGGAGAGTCCTATATGTGTGATAGAGCCACTAGATCTTGAACACTTACAACAAAAAGAATGTAAAATAGCTCATTAATTTTATCAATTTTATATTGATTAAATGTTGAAATGGTAATATTTTTGGTTCTACTGGGTTAAGTACAATATCCTATTAAAATTAATTTCCCACCTGTTCCTTTTTACAACCTAAAAGATGGCTACCAGAAAATTTAAAATTACAGTGGTGGCTTACATTATATATCTATTGGACTGCAGTTGGATATGGTGACATCATTGGGTATTTTGAAGGTATTGCCAGGGCTGGGTTTGCCCTTGTGGAATAACACTATGAGCCAAGGGGATGATGGCTGTAGATGAAGGTCACCAGGTTCAGCCATGGTGATAGTTATTCATCCCAGTCTTACCCACATTTCCAAGTTCAAATGGCTGTTGTGCATCCCAAATAACAGTCACATTGAGAAGAAATGCTTGTTATTGATTGCAGCCCATTCAACAACAAACTATCCAATAGGAGAAGTGTAGGGCTGCCAGAGGTGACTTAGATATGGGACTCATTTCCTTTCTCTTGAAGTCTTCCCCACTGTCAAGCTGCTTTGATCCATGCTTCAGTATCATTTTCTTTCTCTCCAAAATAGGTACAAATCACTTTTATCTATTCACTCTCATGCATTTAAACTCTTACCTATCTTTGTTGAATCATGTCTCCCAGATCCATCCTTTTGTCTTACAGCCTCCCATTCATATCATATAATGAGTACGTATCTGTAATGATTATATTGCTGTCACATTCTGTTTACCAGCCTTTCTATAGCTGTCAGAATTCATACTCTCACCTTTGTCTTTGGCCAAAGCCATCAACTACATGCCAGCACCTCCTCCTGGCTCAGCTTACTTTGTAGCTGTAGCATCAATGGGCAGGAGGGCAGAGCTGTCCATGTATTCAGGCATTCCAGGAGAGGAAACTATGCCCACTACAACCAGCTGCAAGTGGGGTTCTGAAGGCAGCACTGGGAAGCCCCTTTAGTTTCTCTGTGCCTGCCTCTCTGATTTCTTCCTGATCCACAATAGGAAAATATAAGATTTCAGGTTGGACTTTCCAGCTGATACCTAACTAGGATCTAAAATTGAAAGGAAACACTCTATGTGCTCTCCTCTCTCCTCATAACACTTCTGGTCGCCACGTGGTTAAGCAGGACATTAAGATGCCTGATTTATGGCCCAATGAGAGCACCCTCAGCTGACTTCTGGGGAGGAGGGACTATGGTTTGGTGGGGCAATCTTACTACATCTATGGATGTGTGGTTACCCTCTTGCCCACAGATGGTGTCCCAGAGCTTGTAATGGACCTAATAATGTACTTCCCTCTGTAAAGTGAATGAACACAAAATCCTAGAAAACGTTAAATTGATTCTTGCCTCCAGGATTCCATTGATGGACTCTAAACATGACAGAGTTGGAGAGAAGGGTTAGGGTGGGGGTTGGGAGATGATGGACTTGTGATGTGGAGAACCCACCTCTGTGTACCACACAGGCACTCAGGCTTCACTGCCAGACATGCTGAGTGAGGCCCCTTGGCTGGCAGAGCCTCTCTCTACTCTGATTCCTCTAGCTGCAGACCTTAATTTTTTCAACTCCTCTCCTACCCTAAATGAAGGGGAAGGCCCCAACTTCCTCAGCAGTTAACAAGCTCCAGCCTCACAGTGAACAGGTTCCCAGACTTGGGAGTACTCGGGAGTGAGCTGAGGTCCACCTCTATCCTGACTCATTTCAGCCCTGGAGGGGAGGGAGTGGAGGGAGAAATAACAAGCTTTGGCTCATGAAGGGGGTAAGAAGAGGTGGGGGAAGGTCTCTGGATAAGGGGGCTGGGTGGTCTTCCACTCTTGTTTTGCATCTTGTTTTAATATATATATATATATATATATATATATATATATATATATAT